CTGACAGCTAGTGGCGGGAGAGATCATTATTTGTAGAGGTGAAAGAACAGGTGAAGAATGCCGCTGGTTGAGGGAAAGAGGACGGGAGTCCTAACCTCGGAACCCCTTGTTAATACAATATTTTTTGTGTCTATGTTCCATGGGGATGGGAAAGATGGGGGTGTTAATGTCGAAGATTTCCTTGAGTCCCTCGTGTTTGTAGAGAATTTGAAGATTGCCCCCAATGCTAAGATATTGCAATTACCAGATTACGGATGTATGGATGTAAAAATTATTATAGGGCTCACCCAGAACTTGTTGAGAGCGGCAATTATGAGCGCTTCCGACAGGCACTCAAATAGAGATTTGGCCCCAACAAGGGATCGCGCGCGTTTAATGAACGCCCTGCTGTCCATCATTCAGCAACATGGAGAAGGTGTTCGGGAATACACCCAGAGAATTGAATGCCTGTTGTACGAGATTTGTCGACGTGGTATTGACAGATCATAATTATCCGCAGAAATTCAGAACAACTATAAAAATGATCTTGGTAAGGCCTCAAATACCAGGGGACTAGCACCTAATTTTAGACAGGAGGTATTGGCGAACTTCACTGAGGCTGCCAAGTTCGCGAGGGAGGCGGAACGGAATATGGAACTATGCCAGGGTATATCTTGGGAACACAAACAATGTGCGTCTTTTTGGATGAAAAGTTACAAACCGATGGATGGAATCGGGAGTGTTCATCCTGTCGCCTCCAAGGTCCCCATACCTGACCCCCAGAGATTTCCATTTGTGGGGGTATGATACGAACATTGTGCATGCCACACGCACATGAAGCGTGGCCAAATTTCGCGAACGCATTTGGGGTGCGGTCCGGAACATCACACCTTCCCAATTGGAGGCAGTCCTAGAAATGTTGGCTAGAAGGCTGCATGCATGTCTTGACAAAGATGGCAAACATGTGGGAATGTGAAGTGTATATTTGGTATGTCATATAAAAATTTACGAAATGATCTTTCATATTATGCATATCGCATATTTCATCGCCACCCCGTTCCAAAGATGGAGCATGAAACCCCTAAGGGACTTTTGACATACCCTGTACTATCGATAGTTCGGGTCGATGCATCAATGTTTAGAAAACTGCCATCCTGACAGCCTTAATTTAAAGTATTTTATAAAGAACCTAAGATAAGAGCATCATAAATGGCATACCTTCACAGGTATATTGAAACTGAAAACTTAAATAAAGTTTTAACTGTAAAGACCAAAGGAGTGACGTGAAATTATTTTTCCAAAAAACATATATTCCTGTTACCTTTCTCATGCCTACTTACCCGAAATTACTGCTAGGGTTTGATGAACGGTGGAGGGGGGAAGGGAATAGTGGGGCGCGTAGGAACACATAAATGAATTGGTGGCGCGACCAAAAAAGTTTGCGCTTCACTGGCCTAAGACAATGAGCAGCGAAACACTTCGTCCCATGCAAAGTTTATGGCAGCATAACTTGGCAATAACTAGGCAGTGCTTCAAGACAATATCAGCTATTGTATTTCAAAATGAATTGATGGCAAATTAATCTGGAAAGGTTGGAGCTTGTCTTGCTTGGAATGTTTTGTGATTAAATGCCTTTTCCTAGGATCCTGGGATATTCCTTGGATCACAATCTGCTAGACGATGGTGTCGCTGGTTCGATTCAGGGCACGGACAATTTCGCATTTCAACTACAGCCCCTGGAGAGATAGAGCCTGGCCAACCAGTGTCAAATTTCTTGACGCATCTGATTGGCTGACATGCATGGGCGCCATATTCTCTCCAACTGCTGCATGAACGTGGTCCATGCAGTGGACGTGAAGTGGATTTTCTGCCTTGAGTGTAGAAACTTATGCAGTACATGACAGACATCGGAAACGAAGAGCGGACCAACTTTGTGGGTTTCAGCTGCCTTGAAATTGGCTCATGGCTATTCGCTGGGTGCATTATGTTGGAGACATCTTGCGGCAGGAAGCATACAAATGAGCTGGGGGGAGTCGAGCGCTCTAGCTTCAATGCGTTTCTCATGGAAACATGCAAATAGGAATTGTTTTACTACGGAAATGCTTCCTTTTTTTGCCATAGGGTTTTCCTAAGGCCATTTAGAATAATTATATAGTAAGTAATCGATAGAGTTAAGTTTCTATTTTCTAGCATCCAGACGGCCTGAAAGGCCTGTTATGATGTTTCTTTCAGTTTTGGCCTTCGCTTTCCATGGGCCTATGAAAATCAAATTTGGCATTTACTATCTCAGGAAAAATAGTGAACATTAACCCTTGACCTAACACGTTTCATCATGATGTCATGGCCGGATTAAAAGAAGAGGGGGGGCATAGGGGGCCGTTGTCCCGGGCTCCACTCTTCCAGGAAGCCCCCAAAGGAAATTATGTGCGTTAAGTATTTGCATAGAGTGAGATGTGGGGGGGGGGGGATGTAGCCCCAATAATCCACTTGCACTGAGACTCGCAACCTTTTAATCCGGCCGTGCATGAGATTCTAATCCAAAAATGGTTTCTGTCATGGCTTGTGATATAAGCCCATGAATCACAACTGATGAGGAAGAAAAGCTAGCAGCACTTAAGAGAATGTAGATACAATATGAGTAAAAACTTGATCAAGTTTAAAACGGAGTTCCGTTGTAGTGAATTCTATAAGAAACTGGAAGATATTAATATTATCCCACTCATATCAGGCACATGTTATTCCATAGAAATCCTTGCATTGGTGAGTGGCTTTGAGGAAAACCTGGTGTGCCCAGAAGAGGGAGTATCAGGTTTAGAAAAGAATGAATGAAATAGAAATTAAATTTTTTTCACCGAAGTAGGTTGCCGACCCTGAACTTGGCCATTTGAAATACAAACACCGGAATGTTTTTGGCCCCCGAAAGTAGGTCAGGGAGAGATGCGGCAGGCGATCAAAGGACTTGATCAGCTGGAGATCTCGTTTAATTTGGGGGGGAAGTGACCCTGTCCTAACCAAATGTTTGTAGGGTTGGGGTTGACTGGGATGTGCCCATCATTTCCTCAAGATGGTTTCCCTTCAGATGCTTCAATCGTAGAGGTCGTATGAAAAAAGGCTAAAGGCATTCAAAATAATGCAAATATGCACAGTAATAATTATTCAGAAATTTCTGACTCGCCATCGTAAACATTTCAGGATATTTCCGACTCTCTCTTTCCTCACCATAAAAATGTCCGACACGCACTTCATTTATTCGCTCTGTCCCTTTCTTGCTTTATTAGCCGGGGCATTTTTCAGACGTTTTTTCAGGAACACACTCACATGCACATTGGGAAAACTCAATTTTTCCTCATGGAAATCTGAACTTTATATGTGCCATGGTGAAAACGTTAACTATCATATTTCGGGTAGTTCTTGTCGAGTACACGCTAATAATGTTCAAGCGGTATTCACTGGTTATCTCGTAATATACACTTTGGAGATATGGAGATACATTTTGGAGAATATACATTTGAATTCCATGTTCTGTTAGTTAATGGAACCAAACATTTGTTGATTACGGCTTCTTAAAAGAACAGTGAATCTCGACTGAGCAAGGAATGTTAATATGTGCTTCCAAGGTGCGCAAAATAAAGAAAAAGATGCTCACTAATATCGCACGGCATCACTTCTAGTAAAACTTTTTTAATTTTCTGACTTGATTGCTGTCATGTGTATGGGTATTCTTCCGTTCCAACAGGAATACATATGGTACTCACGTGGATCAAATTGAATTCATAAAAGAAGACAAAACACAGACGGAAATATACAACACCGACCATTTCCTGCCGTTTTTCTAAAGGAATCCTGGGATGACACCGTTGTTGAACATCCTCCTCCTTTTCTTTCCCTCCTTGGTGTCTGGAGTATTTGAATGCCCCACGCAATCCATAGAACCTTGCAAATGCACGAAAGATTCGATTGGCAGTGTAACAGTTGATTGTTCAGATGCTACCTGTAATTGTGAGATGTTCTTAGCACTGGAGGTGACCTCGTGGCCTTCCAATGTGTCGTGGTGAGTCAGCATTCTCTTTTTTTTACCAATTTCTCTAATCAAATACCTCTCAGAACATATCAATGAAATACCGCGGTGTAAATTCCTTCCATAGCTGCCTCCGATTGCTTAGCTCCACCCAAATGCAGTATTAGTTCCTTCTTTGGAGAAAACATTGAGGGCGACGAAGCGCTTCCAATAAGTTTACAAAATGTCCCAATAAAAGAAAACTTGAACAATTAAATGCAATTTTAATACAATCGGTAGGATGATTTATTGCTGAATACAATTCTGAATTAAATATGTATAATTTTTCTCATATCTGCAAAATTCGTTCAGATAATGCTAAAGAACCGTAATATATCATTAGGTGATTGATAAGTCTTCTGCTGACCTATGTATTACTTTCGTTTCGGTCGTTCTCTTCAAAATAACTCGAATTAAAATCATTTTCCACTCCAATAAATCAGATTTACATCCTAGAATTTATTGAAGGCCGTCCGCGGCGAATTCCATGTGCCACTACATTAAAATTCAAAGGTAAAAATTCAAAAGTTTTACAGCGATGCAGCGAGAAACATTAAGCAGACGATTTCAAAGGAATTTCATATAGAGGTTAATCTCTTCGTTGTAATTTTGCCAACTTGATGTAGCATCAACCTGATGCATGAAGTTGATACATGCGTACCATTGATCTTATGCGGAAGAAACACATCGAAATTTATTTGATGGAGCCCCTGAGATTTTATGTTTGTACTACCTCGCAGTTGAATTCTCAATGTCAAATGTGGACATGCACGTACAGTATAACCCCAAAAAGGTGGAAATGAGAACGTCAATCAGTCCCTATGGGTATTTCAAGGGATATTCCCATATTGATATAGATTACCAGTTTCTTCTATACCTTCAATATCTGAATATGCATGCGCCCACTCAAGATTTCCTGCCAATATCTCAATGTAAATAAACTTTCATATTCTCCCTCCTTCCAGGCAAATTCCTGAAAGGAAATCGATAGACTTCAGCTTCAGATCCTTGACGTCAGTCCCAGCCTTCAAGAGCGACGGCCTGGAAGAACTGAGACTAAATAGAAATAAAATTACGAATATGGAGTTCGAGAAATGGGCAACTCCCACATTGAGGATCCTTTTCCTCTGGGGCAATTCCTTGACATCAGTCCCAGCCTTCAAGAGCAACAGCCTGGAAGAACTCTACATCAGTCAAAATAAAATCACGAATGTGGAGTTCGACAAATGGGCAACTCCCAAACTGAGGATCCTCAAGCTAGCCAGCAATTCCTTGACATCAGTCCCAGCCTTCAAGAGCAGTAGCTTGGATGAACTCGACCTCAGTCATAATAAAATCACGAATGTGGATTTCGACAAATGGGCAACTCCCAAATTGAGGAAACTCTTTCTCCGTAACAATTCCTTGACGTCAGTCCCAGCCTTCAAGAGCAATAGCTTGGAAGAACTCGACCTCAGTTTTAATAAAATCATGTATGTGGAGTTCGACAAATGGGCAACTCCTAACTTGAGGATCCTAGTTCTCTGGGAAAATTCCTTGACGTCAGTCCCTGCCTTCAAGAGCAACAGCCTGGAAAAACTCAACCTCGCTTCTAATCAAATCACGAATGTGGAGTTTGACAAATGGGCAACTCCTAACTTGAGGATCCTAGCTCTCTGGGGCAATTCCTTGACGTCCGTCCCAGCCTTCAAGTCCAACAGCGTGCATGGCGGATTTTCTGCTTCCAAGTCAACAGGAAGCAAAAGTGAGCAACGAATGGCTGGATTTCTTCCATTATCCTATCTAATGAAGTCGGATTGTTTTTTTCCATACCTTAGGTGAAGCATTTAACCTACATTCTTAGGCAACCAATCATTCATTCATAAATCTCCCTGATAACATTTTCTTTAGAGAGCGCTTGTTCACAACAGTGTCTTCCATTGTGGCTTATGTCAAATTTTAAAAACAATGACATGACATTGCACTATGCCACCTGATTTTCTAGAGTAAGAAATTGATGATAAGAAATGGGTTGAAGACTTTCACCTTTTGAAAATCGTATGAATTATATTTTCCTGTAACTATTCTGCGATGAAAAATAGAATAAAGGTTTTTTGTGTCATGTTGTAGACTATTGCACGGAATCTCGTCGAGGAATATTCCAGAAAGAAATTTCTACTTCATTTAAGAAAAATGTAACTAACACTAAACTGCACTTCCTAACCCACGTGACGGTAACGGTTCATAAATTCTAAATACCAGACTCAACCGTATGGCAGCAATACATATTAATTGTTACTCGTGACTAGTGTTACATGAAGTTGAACAGTTAATAAGAAGTGTCTGGAAGATCTCATCATTTCTTTTTTTAGTAAATAACATTTGAGTGCATCTTCCATGAAGCGTGGTAATCTGAGTTATGTAATTGGCCATTCGTAATTACTGGGAAGTATAGAACTTCCGCTTTTTTATTATTACGTCCAAACTCCATGGAGTGGATCTGATTGATAGATAATTTAAATGGAACAGGTAAGGGTTTCCAGCTAAACTCTTTTTTTGGGAAAACCCTCTCATGAAATCATTTGAATATTTCAAATCAAAGAACATGTCCATGTCAACTGCAGATCTTTGGACCAGCACGGAAGTGAACCTTCAACATAATAAGATAGCTACGATTGACGGGCGGGTTCTTCACCGGATCCTGAAGGAAATGTCCCAGGGAGATGGTTTTCTCAGACTAGATGGTGAGTTCCATGGCTGCCCAAGTGATTCCTGCTTCTTTCTTTCCTTCTTGCATCTTTGTCCTCCTCCTTCCAGACAATCCCATCAAGTGTGACTGTGCCTCATACTGGTTGAAATTCTCTCCCAAAATGTTGGAGAAAGTTAGCGGGAAATGCGAAAATGGGACCGATTTGCGAGACCTCGATCTGATTGAATCAGGAGTGACAGGCTGCGAACCACCTCCTCACATCAAATACGGACGCTTCCATTTTCTCTCATGCTCAAATGAAGAGGGGAGGTAGGATTATTCAACCATGCTCTCATGTTTTCTGTTTGGAGGGTTGTTTTCAAGATTTATGACCACTATGGGAATTTAAACTTTTTTGGTGCAGGAGGAAACTTTGCATGTGCGGGAGAAACTCTTTTTCCTATATTCTGCTATGGTACTTGTTAAAGAGATAATTGCAATGTACCTACGCTGCCGTATAATACACACCCAAATCTTCTCAAAGAGTGGGAGCGTAAGGACTGGCTACTTAAAAAGCTCTTATTTCTTTCAGTTCCAAAATCGAAACAGAATGCATTCAAGATGGGAAATACCTTATCGGAAGTAAAGTGAACTACACATGCGATAGGTATTATACTCTGCGGGGTCCACGTGTTCGGACATGTGTGGCGAATGAAGAATGGACTGGTCCTGACCCACTCTGTGAACCTGGTGTGTTTTTCTATTGAGAATTTGATTGAATGATGTATATCAATTGCACAATAACCGAATTACTTGTGGGTTCTCCTACGTTTCTAGAGTGCGGCCGAATAAAAATACCTGGTGCATCCACTCAGAGTTTGATTAGTGGAGGAATGGAAGCAGCTCCTGGGGCTTGGCCTTGGCAAGCGGCCATCTACGATGACCATGAGAAAGATATAATTTGTGGAGGAGCTCTGATTGGAAGACAATGGGTTCTCACTGCAGCACATTGCGTCGTGGATGACGACGACGTGATTGCAGTTAGAGATGTGAATGATTTATTTGTCTATCTCGGCAAGCATCATCGAAATATATCCATGGACAATGAAGTGGCGCAAAAAATGAAGGTGCAAACACTAATGAATTTCGTGCCAATCTGCATGTTAAAATATATTCTCGATCCCTGATGGTGAACGATTCCCTTTTGTTTGTAGGTGACACAGATCATTATGCACGAGGAATACAAACACTTGGAGCCTGACATTGCCCTTTTGAAACTCCACGATTCGGCTAATATCACAAAACGGGTTCAATTGGTCTGTCTGCCGACGAATGATGAACTGTCTCACCAATTTTTGGATGGTGTACAAGATAAAATTGGCGGTCCTCACCGAGGATATGTATGACTTCATCAGTCTCATGTCTCAATTTTTTCTATCGTCTCTTCATTTTCTATCCGGTTTAACGCCAGGTGACAGGTTGGGGAATAGATGCCTCAAACCGGGCAACAGATGTCTTGACTGAGGTGCAGCTGACGGTCATTCCACAACATGAATGCCGAAATACATTCGACGTCATTGCGGAAACGCACCCTAGAACCATCTCTAGGAACACATTTTGTGCAGGAGAACTCAACTATTCCTTCTCATCCGGGAACGACGATGAGAAAGGTATCTTTCCAATCACTCCAATCCCAATCATTCCAAACCACGAAGGAATTTCCTCTTCAATTATTTCATCCACCCCATATGGAAGTGCATATAATAAAGATACGTTGGGTGCAAAATGGATGTAAATTTGTAGTCCTGTTGTACTAATAATGTATCATATATTTTATTTTTTGGCTACTACGAATATAGTCGACCATGTCACCCGAAAGTGTGCTTTCACTGGGATTTACGAAATTTACGAATATTTCAACATATGTAGGTGACCATATTATTTTCTTGTAGAATACAAGACGTTGTGCAAAGGGGATTCGGGGAGTCCCATGGTCTTCGCCTCTCATAGTCTTTTGAATAGTCAGTGGGTGATCGAAGGAGTCGTCAGTCATATCTATGAAAGGCCCGAACAAAATTGCTCTAATTATGAACCTGGTCATTATGGTGCTTTCACAAGAGTCAATAGGTGAGAAATGCTTTTATCCCATGATGTTTCTTTGCTAAGCTTTCTCAAAAATGCCATGAAAATTAAAAATTTTAAGAAAAAAAAAACCTATTTAAGAAGATACGAGGTGGTGTTTCTTCACAGAAGTTCCTTGCAGATAATCTCTCGTTAATAATTTTCTTATATCCTTCTTTGAACGTGGAATTAGGAATGAATATATTTATTTACTAGCGAGTTATTCACACACTAGCTAACTTGCTATGGTCGCGCTCTATTACCTTGGATAGTGTTTAATTCATTATTCTTTGCGAAATTGCAAACACGTATTTAAAGTACGTCCCCATTGAAATACGTGACTCATGTGGACGAAAATCTTCATTTTTATCAAAATCTTTACTTCTATTATTTCTAGTGTGCCTAACTTGAAATCTTTTCATGTCCCATTATATTAATTTGTCTTTTTTATCCGACGAAACAGAGACAGAAAATTTAAACTTCCCTCAGAAGTACCTGTTTGATGGTGGAGTAAATGCCCTGTGGCCACATATTTCAGAGGGAGATGTTTTCATATATTTCTTTGCATCTGTTAAACTGATGAACATGAAAGCTGAAACTTTGCCTGAATGTGACTACTGAGACAAGGAATTAAAAGAAAGATGTTAAGTCTCGATAAATCCCTAGGGGGAATTTTTTTGAGGGGCTATGCTTTGAAAAGAAAATCGTTGGGGTGAATAGGACAGAGAGGGCGCTAGAAAGTTTAACCATGGCCAAGAAGTACTTAATGGATAGCTGAGTAAAGAAAAAATTATACGTTTATTATTAGATATGGACGATCGTGAGTAGCCGACTAACTGACCTAGGTAGCTATTCGCATGCTGAGCTCAGGAAAAATTATACTTTGGCGATACATGACACAGGGGCATTCCGTTTTGGGAAACATATTTTCAAATAGTTCTATTTGCTTCAATCCAACGGAGACACATGGAAAGCTGAAACTTGGCAAGAACGTGTCTGCTGACGCACTGAGCTCAGGAAAAATGTTAAAATTTCCGAAATGTATATGGGGTTCATATTTCTTGGGGACGTAACGTTTTCAAAGAATTTTTCATATCCTACCGAATCCGGAAAACATAGAAAAATAGCTGACGCACGCATAATGGACGTAATGTTGATTTAAGGAAAAATTCAACTTTTGTTGTGCGTCTCCTCAGAGCACAACTTTTGGGTGGGTCGCTTTTCCAAATACATTTTTTTACCGCCAGCAATATGGGTAACGTAAAATGCTGAACCTGGGTGGCATGGAGTTTCCTGAGGCTACATTTCAAAAGAAAGAAAATTTCGTTAAAACCCATTAGGTCACTTTTTTTAGAGTCCCATTATATTGATTTGTTTTTTTTTGATCCAACGAAACAGAGACGGAAAATATAAACTTCCCCCAGAAGTACCCATTTGATAGCTGAGTACAGAAAAAATCCTACTTTTGAAATATGTCCCCTTAGCGTATTATAGGACGGAAGTATTTCAAAATGCATCCTCCACCGTTACGAAAAGGCACACAAGAAAATATTTCAAGTTGGGCACCCTAGAAATCATAGAAGTAATGATTTTGATGAAGATGAAGACTTTCGTCCCCATATGTCACGTATTTCAAGGGGACGTACTTTAAATACGTGTTTGCCATTTCGCAAAGAATAAATGAATTAATCAATCTACAAGGAAATGGAGCGCCGAAGGCGCAACCATAGCGCTAGTTTTGAAATACTTCTCTCCAATAATCTACAATACGGGGACCTATTTCAAAAGTAGGATTTTTCCTGTACTCAGCCATCAAACAGGTACTCCTGAGGGAATTTTCAAATTGTCTGCCTCAGTATCGTTGGATCAAAAGAAAATTGAGGAAAATGGGAATGAAAATAGTGCCCTGATGGGTTTTAACGAAAAAGGTTTTTCTTTTGAAATGTAGACTCAGGGAACTACATACCACCCACTTTCAGCCTTATACGTTTCCCCTTTTTGCTATCGGAGAAAATGTATTTGAAAAGCGACCCACCCAAAAGCTGTGCACTGAGGAGACGCACAACAGAAGTTGAATTTTTCCTTAAATAAACATCACGTATGTTAAGCTTGCGCCAACTGCTGCTTTTCTATGTCTGCCCGATTCGCTAGGATATTAAAAATTCTTTGCAAGCATAACGTGCCAAGAAATATCCCCCCAGAATTCCAATATTTTGGAAATTTCACATTTTTCCTGAGCTCATTGCGTCAGCAGGCATGTTCTTGCCAATGCTCAGCTTTCCATTTGTTTCCGTTTCATTGATGCACAGTGAAAAATTTGAGAATATGTTCCCCGAAAAGGAGTGCCCCTATTGCATGTATCACCAAAGTAGAATTTTTCCAGAACTCAGCATGCGAATAGCGACTTATGTCAGGCAGCTACAAACGATTATATACCTAGGTATAATACAAGTAGAATTTTTTCTTTACTCACCTATCCATCAGTTCTTCTTTGCCAAGTTTAAATTTTCTAGAGAGCTCTGTTTTGCTGGATCGGGAAAATTCTGGAAAATACGCCTCTTGCAATATATGTGCCCTGGGGCGTTTAACCGAAAGGTACATATTTTTTTCCGAAATCAATACTTAGAGAACTACATTCCCACAAAGTTTCAACCTTATACGTTTGCCCTTTTCGCTGGTGAAAAAACATGTTTTGAAAAGCCGACACAACCAAAATCTATGCCCGGAGGGGATTCCCCATGAAAACTGATTACTCCCAAAACTCAATAATACCATGTGACTTAAACGCGTGCCACCTTTCACCTTTCCATTTCTGCCGAATTCACCACGATATTTTTTTAATACATTGCCCCTAGGAAAAATTCCCCCAGGGGATGTATCGAAACTTGATACATTTCTTTAACTCCTTGTCTCAGTAGCCACATTCATGCAAAGTTTCAGCTTTCTAAGTTCATCAGTGTAACTGATGCAAAAAATTATTTGAAAACAACTCCCTTTGATATTTGTGCCCCAGGGCATTCACTTCCAAAGTCTGGATTTTTCTGCACGCAGCATCCCAATAGGTAGTTATGAACCAAGTTTCACCTTTCCACACCAGCTCAATACGCCAGGGTAAAAAAAATTACTTAAAACGTCGGCCCCTAAAAATATGCCCCCACAGGGCATGGATCTAAAACTTTACATTTTTCCTGAACTCATCGCCCCGGTATTAGCTTTCCATGTCTCTCCATTTCACTAAAGCAAAATAATTGTTACGGATGGGAAATGAGTAACACGCCTTGAAAGGCATCAGAGGCCGCAAGGCCAAGGAATTGAACCTAGGCTTCATGATTGCCAGTCAAGTGTTCTTCCACTACACCACCGAACCCGAGACATCCAGTCAAGCCTCTCGATGCCATCCTAATCCGTCACAATATTTATCTTTAAAAACCTTTCTCCTCCAATATGTGTACCCCCAGACCATGTACCCCTAAAGTCGGATTTTTTTCTGAACTCTGCATCCCAAAAGGTACATGTGCACCAAGTTTCAGTTTTCTAACTTATCTAGAAGATGGTTAGATTTAGCGTCAGTCAGTCAGTCATGATCGTCTATATATATTAGATTTGCATGGTTTATTAATATGGCTTTTAAATAGCAGAACAAATAATATCAAATGTTCTATTTCAATTATATTTAATTGGGCAATATATGCATGTCCTTTCTCAATGTATCCAAGGCGTATAACATCTTCCCTTTTTATTATGATTTAAATCATGTGATTGACTCCTATCCTTTTATTTATTTTTATCCATCATGAATGAAATTTGCAAAAGAACATTAGCAATTTTGTGCGCCAAGTCACCTGTAATGTGTTTTTTTTTTCGGTTTTGACCGTTTTTGATGACAGCTAACCCTAGTGTTCCTTCTTCCTATCAGGTTTGTTCGCTGGATCGAGGATATCATGTCGATGAACTCGTGAAGTCTGGAGTGACGATCTATACCCTCCCAATCGAAGCATGAAAGTATTTTCTTTTACCTGATGTATATTTCGACAGCGAAACTGAAGTAGAAGCGGTTTTTTGGTTTTTTGTTATCATCTGTTACTAGTTTCCATCCAAAACTTTTTTTACCATCCCTATTTCACCCTTACCCTACCAATTACATCTCTTTTACATGTAATACTTGTTTTACAATACCTTTCCACTTGTGCCTTACACGCACATTACATTCATTTTTCATACACAATTTATATTTTCTTCCCGACAAGGTATCTTTCACTCCAGACTGACCTCATCTTTTCAGAATACTCTGATGTGATTCTCACCTTACATGACGGGTGTTACATTAGCACTAAGGCAATGATTACCATATGTTAAAAGCATCAGCCGTATGGCTTTTTTGATCCAACAATGACCTACACGAGATATTCATACCATTTTATTTACTATAGGCCCCCTAACTCTTTTCTCGTGGATGAAGCAGCTTATTTTGCACTCATGCGTAGGATCGGCGAGATCTCGAGCAAGTCTTGCTCTTCAGGGACTTTAACATGCCAAATATAGATTGGTTGGTGCCGCAAGGGGGGTGCGAAAGGTATATGGAATTTCTCGTTGCGATTCAGGACGCTCTTCTCGTTCAGTAGGTAAACGAATTGACTCGCGAGGAAGCTTTATTGGATTTAGTTTTTGCACTCTGGTAGGCTCACTCTGACTCCAAGTTGCGGCATCAACTCATCACTTTACGTGTTCAGGTAGCGTTTCCAGTTTAAAGTTCCCTTAAAGAAAAACGGTCCAAAAACATGTGCACCCCATAGTCCGTACCACACAGGAAGTTTTTGAGATCCTTGCTGTTCGGTCGGTTACATGCAATCTATAGCGAACAGAGGCGAAATACATTTTTTTACAGGTTACATCGCCGACAAAAATATCAATTTCGGACACTTTGTCGGTCTGCTAATTCCTTATTCGTAAATGGAGTGTTCCATCATGGACCAATTGGAATCGCCGGCTACTGTGGGTGACTCACACGTGAGTTGGAATCGACTTGATCGCTATCAGATCACCGGCAAGTTGAAGGTTATAACTCAATTGCTACGTTTAATCCTCTAGAAGTATTATAATAAATGGATTGTGACGTTCAGTTTTAGGAGTGGTTCGTCCAGTTCAGACGTTCTATGTGGGATGTTTGGGATTTCCCGAGCAAATGCAGAAATTACTTTCGGAGGATTAGTCGAAAGTTAGATTTACATCATTTTAGACTGAAATTTTCACGAGGAAAAAACAAACCTTAACAAACAAATTGAAGGCGACTATCAATTGCTCGTATCGTTCGTGAGATTGTCAAAAAGCAACTTGAACATTGTTTCAGAGACAAAATGAAAAGCGACTGATCACTTGTTTCATATCATAAAGGAGGGTGGGAAGTAAATGAGCGGGAACGTTTCATCCTGCACGAACAGGAACTGAAAACGTATATTCTCAGCTGAAGCGACATCCCTTTCAACGAAGGAATACCAAAGAAAAATGAAGCAGGATTCTATGAAAGTCGATTCTAAATGTTGCCAGGCGCTCCACTTCTAAAAGCTGTAAGTTGCCGCCCAGTTCGCAAATCTCCGTCTCTGAAGCTTATCTTTACTCACTACTCATCGACGCAGCGGCCAGCAGTGAGGACTCATTGGTCGTTCATGAGGGTGGCCCCACATAGATATGGCGACCCTCTGGTCACGTTTGCCATCCAGGGGTACCACCTCTATATGGGAACTGGGACTAGGAAGGGGCTTCTCCCGGCGCTGGGAGGAGATGGTCAGCTTCCGAATTCCTTACTTTCCCAGTGGATATCCAGATTCAATTTCTCATTATGGACACAACGCAAACCACATCGCGAATTGCTCCTTTTAAATCGTAACTCGAAATCTCTTGACGCACTTCCCAGTTTCCCTAATCTACCGAATATGAGAGGAGGTCCTTTCTCCAAGGGACGATGATGGGAAATATATTCATACAAGATAATAATTATTGATTAAACGTAATAATTAACGAATATGTAATATTTCGTGTACCGTTATTTGGTGCAAGAGACTCAAGAACATTTAACTCTTCGCAGGTCATAACGCAAAAGACTTCGTGGCAGCGTCTCCCTATATCTTAAAACTCCAAAATCATGGATTTCTCCACGTTTATCTGGCTCTACTCATTCCCTCCCTCACTGCAGAACATTGAAATAGTTTCGATTTTCGGAATCTATTATGAAAGAACTATCGCATCCTGACGCATTTGGCTTAATTTATTCGTAGACAATGAGGACTCCCGGCATCGGTCGGTAAACCGGATATTCCATCAGCCGCCTTGAAAAGACACGCCTCCGGTACACCACATTGAACGCAAGGATTGCTTTCGGATTGCGTTCAGGAGGCGAACGACTCCCCGAAAGCCTCCATAATGATGCGACGTCGGTGCGGTCTGACTATGAGTTGCTTCGGGCATAGTCGCCATTCCAAATCTTCATCTGCATTTTCTTCTCTGGTCTGCACGGAAACCAGAACGAAGATGAACCCGAGACGAGGCTGTCGTCTGCCTAATGGAATTATCGACAGGAACTGAGAACTCTCGCGAGTGATACGAGAGACGGAAAGACGACGTTCCCAGAGGACGAATCGTCCTTTTTCAAGGAAAAAGAACTCGGCGATAGAACTATGCTGATGAAGCGACGCATAAATAAATTAATAAACAAATTAGGCACAATTATGAGAGAAAATAAGCTAAACAGAAAATAAATTATGTAATTGAGAAACTGGAAAATTCCAGAACAAATTCGTTTCGTGGATGAGACGCTGAACCCATGTCGAGTTCCACCTGTACGCCCGATGTTTACAGTCAGATGTTTTTCTATGTATCTCAATTAAGATCATTAGAAAAATATGAATAAAAATTAAGATCCTGAAACAGGTCTTCCTTGCCAGTAGTGCATTCTATTCGTATTGCCGCGAAAAAGGCCGGGAGCATGGAGGGGGGAGGGAGGGGGGGATAGAAGGGGGGAGGACGTTTTTGAGGTCGTTCCTGTTTGGTCGGTGACATCCAATCCATTGTGAGCGGTAGAAAAAATGTATCCTATCAATTTCCCGGGTTACATCTTCCACAAGCGTGAGTATCGACATATTTTCATGAAGTAGCGATTTTTTGGACACTGTCGGCCTCGTGAAACTCTCTCCGACATTTGAGTGATCATATATCTTGGAACACTGATCACCAGCTATTTTGCGTGATGTGAGTTTCAATTAAGTTTATTGCTATCAGATCACCAGTGTGTTGAAAGTTATAACTCAAACCTCCGTTTATTCCCCTTTAAGTAAGATGATTTTTTTTCATAACGTTCAGTTTCAGAAGGCGCTCCTTCGGTTCAGACGTTCCGTTTGGTCAGTTAGGAGTTCCTAGGAAGTGCTGGAATTCTTTTCAGAGGATTAGTCGAAATTCATTTTTGCACATTTTAGCATAAAATTTTTATGAGGAAGAACCAGAAAATATTGAAAAAAAATTGACTGTGTATACCCATTGTTCGCTCCTAGGGGTCCATCAAGCGTCGAGTTTTGTTTAGAGGAGAAAAAGAACATTACTTCTTATCATGAAGGATGGTAGGAAGAAAATCAGCGGAAAAGTCATATCCCGCACGAACCGGGACCCCAAGCGGATTTCCCCAGATAAAGCAACATCCCTTTCCACAGTGAAGCGCGAAAGGAAACTGAAGCGGGATCCCGTGGAAGTTGACTCCTAGCAAGCTCTGGAACCGTCGGCGCCGATAGATTCCTTCAGGTGTGTGAAAGTCATTTTTCAGCATGAAAGTACAACTTCCAGGCCTTTTCCAGCTTCGCCCTCGAGTAGTTCCAAATGCATCATCTTCATCCAGATTACACAGTTTACCGAATCACCAAACCCTGAATCGTCTGAAGGTGACATTGGTCTCATATTGATTGTCATGGTCTGAAACCTTGAGCAAAAAGATACAAAATCATAATTAATTAATTTAAAACTTAATTAGGACATTTTCCCGACACTGCTTCTTTAATGTTCTCTCTTGGATCCGAATACACAATCTCTTCTATCTTAACGACGCCCCTTACATATCATTACTCAATGAACTCATTTTACTGGTAATTAAAATTTTTGCCCTGCGGGAAAGACTTCCCGAGTGGACCACCCGTGGACCCCGAATAGTACGTGGGATACATCTATCGCAAGCTCTTGGTAAGCTAATTGCGATGGTGAATATTTTAATGGAGAAAGACAAGTAATATCAGGTTATAAAGGTGAAATTTAGACATTTTCCAGAAAACAATTTATTGACAATTAACTCAACAACGACTAGAGTTCAGTCTTGCAGGTAATCACCATCAATATCAATCACATCTCGCCACTTTTGCTGCAAACGTTCAATCCCGTGAGCATAGAATGACTGGGGTTTTCATTGAAGAAAGTCTCGAGCTCCGTTCTCACCTGCTCATTGTCATTGAACTTCATACTGACAATGTGGTTCTGCAGGGCGCGAAAGAGGTGATAGTCAGTTGGCGCCAATCTGGGCTGTAAGGTGGATGAGGCAGAACCTCCCAGCCCAGACTGGCCAGCTTCTCTGAGGTCATCTTTGCTCTATGTGCTGGCGCATTGTCGTGGTTGTATCGGACTTTGTCAATTTGTGGACGAAGTTCTTTGATCTTAGTGTTCAAACGGTCCAGTTCTTCAATGCGCCAGCACATAGAGGAAAGATGACCTCAGAGAAGCTGGCCAGTCTGGGCTGGGAGGTTCTGCCTCATCCACCTTACAGCCCAGATTGGCGCCAACTGACTATCACCTCTTTCGCGCCCTGCAGAACCACATTGTCAGTATGAAGTTCAATGACAATGAGCAGGTGAGAACGGAGCTCGAGACTTTCTTCAATGAAAACCCCAGTCATTCTATGCTCACGGGATTGAACGTTTGCAGCAAAAGTGGCGAAATGTGATTGATATTGATGGTGATTACCTGCAAGACTGAACTCTAGTCGTTGTTGAGTTAATTGTCAATAATTTGTTTTCTGGAAAATGTCTAAATTTCACCTTTACAACCTGATAGTAGACAAGTAAGTAGTAATTTCAATGTTAAGAAGTGTGGGTTGTAGAATCGGCAAGCAAAGTGAGTGGTGCGCGCACGTTCAACACAGCCACCTTGAACGGAGGGGAAGAGCGCCCGCTTTCCTTTCCCGCTTTCTTTCCTTTACTTTCGTTTGTTTTTATGTTCTGCGTTCGTTAGAGTACTGGCACCCACCTGACTGGCAATCAGGAGTTCAATTCATTGCGCAGCTATCACACTCAAAGACCCGAGCGGGGGGCAAGGCATCCTTATTTTTGAATTCCCACGTAAAACGTAACAAATTATACACGTATCAACATTTTAATGACACACTCTTACCTCAACTCTATCAGATGAAACATACGAGATCACTGTAGCCTATTCATGAAGTATTTTCGTGCGATATACCTCTCCGGATTGTCCACTTCGGAATTCATCCCAACCCGTTCTGTAGAAAATTTGTTACACCCGATGTGGATCCCGTGCACGCGGGTGCGATCTATCGATGTAATAATAGCCGACGTCCTCAGTCTGTCTGTCTGTCTACCGGAGGTCTGCTGGGGGCCGCTTTTCCTAATTCGACTCCATCGGCCCGATTCGAATCGTGATAGTACACGACCCCACCCGCGGGTCGTGTCGGGCTGATCGGGCCTACATGCAGCTTGCTTCGGTTTCTAAGCTCTAAGCTTAAAAAATCGGGGTCTCAGGGTTTATTTTTCTAGGCAGCTTTGCTGACGTTTCCAGCCATCCCATGAGGTCCCATTCGTGCTAGCCTGCTCATTTCTCTCATAGGTCACAATAGTCCGCCAGAAGCTGTAAACTGCAGGAGGAAAAAACACTTTGAAAGCGTTTTCGCCTGCACCAAACAAGAAACTTAATTGCGGACCTCTCTCCCCCTCGATCCGCGGGTCGGAACGGTTCTAGAGAGATGCATTCGTATCCCGTGCAAAATCATGCCTTGTCCACGGCATAGCTTAGACATAATGCATATCATGTTATTCATCCAAAGCGTGACAATTTGAAATTCCAACTTTATCTCTTTACTAATTGCATCTTCTCTTACTGCAAAGAAAAATTAACCTTGAGTTCTTTATGTCTGTTGAAAATTTGGTCACCAGTGAAGCGGATCCCGTGGGACACGAGTTTGGGCAAATCTGATATGTTGAGTCTTACTCAATATGATTTCTGGAGCCTCTGTCAGAGTACAAAGCTACAGTCATTAATAGTAGTGTAAAATGTACTGAAAAATTATTTTTTGAAACTGAAAAAAAAAATATTTCGACAGTCTCTTCTCTCCATGAAAAAATTTCCGTGAGCCACTTGCAGTATTTTCGTTGCCCTGTCCCTTTGTTCCTGCATAAGCCTCATCATTTCTCTGATGTTTTTCATGAACGACATTAAATGAACATTGGAACCTACTCAATTTTCCCTTTTATGAATCTACATTTTATGTACGGGATGGAGAAACATTATATGAGCATCTTTTTGGGAGATGTTGGCGAGTACATGCTAATAATGTTCAGACGCTGTTGAATTGTTCAGCAAAGGGCACAGGGAATTACTGTACATTAACATTCTCATGACGAGGACGAGACCAACACGAACTCCTAATAGATCTTTTGGACGAAAACAAATGTTAGAATTGGTTTTTTTATTTGACGGAATCGATCATTTTTTTATTACTTTATGGCTTATTGAAAGTGTCGCATTTCCCAAATGATCGGGGAATGGTTATATGTGCTGTCGAGGATCGCAAAATGAAGAAATGTGAGTTAATTAAAATCGGTTAGAATCACTTGCAGTATAAGCTTTTCTTCTGACATGACTGCTGTCACGTATAAGAATGTTCTCTCCTTCCAACAGGAATATAGCAATGATGCCGTTGTTGCCCATCATCATCCTTTTCTTTCCCTCCTTGGTGTCTGGAATATTTGAATGCCCCACGGAATCCATAAAACCCTGCAAGTGCGCTGAAGATTCAATAGGCTATGTGTCAGTTGATTGTTCGGATGCTATCACATCATATGAAATTGGCTCAGCACTAAGAGTGACCTCATGGCCTTCCAATTTGCCCTGGTGAGTCAGCGTTCTCGTTTCTACAGGTTTTTCCAATCACATAAAATTCAGCACCATCAATAAAATTCCCCAATATCAACCCCATCCACTGCTCCCTTCCCTTACTTGGTTCCTCTTAATCCGCATAATGGTGGAAATAAAAACTTTCACACGTCTCTTTGGGTCAATTGAAGGAAATTTACATGAATATTATGTCTCACTCTTTACTTCTATATTTAATATCAAAATGTGCATATGTCAACTACATATTCCCAAACGAAATCGCAATATATATGTACTTTCATCCCATCTCACCTTAGAGGCAACTTCCAAAAGGGAAGGTAATTAACCTTTCAAGTAATTCACTTACTTCAGTCCCAGCCTTCAAGGGCGACAGAATGGAAGAACTCAACCTCAGTCGTAATAAAATCACGAATTTGGAGCTCGACAAATGGGCAACTCCCAAATTGAGGATCCTCTCCCTCTCTTCCAATTCATTGACCTCAATCCCAGCCTTCAGGAGCGACAGCCTGGAAGAACTCTACTTCTATAATAATAAAATCACGTATGTGGAAATGGACAAATGGACAACTCCCAAATTGAAGAAACTCTGGCTGAACAACAATTACTTGACCTCAGTCCCAGCCATCAAGAGCGACAGGCTGGAAGAACTCAACCTCGGTGGCAATAAAATCACGAATGTGGAGTTCGACAAATGGGCAACTCCCAAATTGAGGATCCTCAAGCTCTCCGCCAATTCCTTGACGTCAGTACCAGCCTTCAAGAGCGACAGCCTGGAAGAACTCGACCTTCATCGCAATAGAATCACGAATGTGGAGTTCGACAAATGGGCAACTCCCAAATTGAGGATCCTCAGTCTCGGGGGCAATTCCTTGACGTCAATACCAGCCTTCAAGAGCGACAGCCTGGAAGAACTCGACCTCAGTTATAATAATATCACGAATGTGGAGTTCGACAAATGGGCAACTCCCAAATTGAGGAAACTCAGTCTCGGGGGCAATTCCTTGATGTCAGTACCAGCCTTCAAGAGCGACAGCCTGGAAGAACTCGACCTTCATCGCAATGAAATCACGAATGTGGGGTTCGGCAAATGGGCAACTCCCAAATTGAGGGAACTCGGCCTCTCCAGTAATTACTTGACCTCACTTCCATCCTTCAAGTCCAACAGCGTGCGTGACGGATTTCCTGCTTCCAAGTCAAAGGGGAGCTTTAGTGAGTAACGAGTCATCTTCCGTTATCCCATCTAATCAGGCCGGACTGTTTTTTCCATACCTGGGGGATGTAATTGACATAGAGTCTGTGGTTACAAACCTTATGAATCAATAATCCCCCCTATAACATTTTCTTCAGAGAGTGCATGATCATAACATTCCACCGTGACTCGGGTTACATTTTAAAAACAATGACATTACATTGCGCAATGCCACCTGAGTTCCACAAAAGGAAATTGAAAATAGGAAATGGGTTCAACACTTTCACGTTTTGATAATCATTTTAATTACATTTTCTTACAGCTATTAGGCGAGGAAAAATATAATTTGCGTTTTCGTGGCTCATGTTACATCCTAAAGCACGGAATCTCGTGCAAGCAATTTCCAAAAATAAACAGGTACTATATTTAACAAAAATGGAATGAACACTTACACAATGAACACTGGTACATAGCATTTGACTACATCGTCCATGAAGTGTGCTAATCTGAAGTATTCAATTGACCATTCATAATTGTAATGAATTATAGAACTTCCGGTTTTTTAGAATTGTGTCTAAAGTCCGTGGAGTGGATCTGATTGATAGTAAATTTAAATGGAATAGGTAAGGGTTTTCAGATCAACACTTTATTGAGAAAACCCGCATTAAAAAATCATATAAATGTTTCAAATCAAATAACAGAATTGTCCATGTCAACTGCAGATCTTTGGACCAGCACGAAAGTGCACCTTCAACGTAATAAGATAGCTACGATTGACGGGCGGGTCCTTCACCGGATCCTGAAGGAAATGTCACAGGGAGATGGTTTTCTCTACCTAGATGGTGAGTTCCAAGACTGCCCAAGTGGTTCCTGCTTCTTTCTTTCCTTCTTGCATCTTTGTCGTCCTCTTTCGCAGACAATCCCATCAAGTGTGACTGTGCCTCATACTGGTTGAAATTTTCTCCCGAAATGTTGGAGAAAGTTAGCGGGAAATGCGAAAATGGGACCGATTTGAAAAATCTTGATCTGATGGAATCAGGGGTGACAGGCTGTGAACCACCTCCTCGCATCAAATACGGACGCTTCAGTTTTCTCTCATGCTCTAATGATGAGGGGAGGTAAGATTATTCAACCATGCTCTCGTGTTTTCTATGTTTGAGGGAATTTTCAGCCCCACCCCAACTTCATCAAATGGCAAACCCCAGCGTCATCATACATTTATTTATTTGCTCGCGTGATCAATATGGGAATTAAACTTTTTTGATGTTTCACAAGGAAACTTTGCTTCTGCTAGAGAAACACTTTTTCTTCTGTGGGAGTGTGGGAGCGTTACGACTCGCTACTTACAAAAGCTTCTATTTCTTTCAGTTCCAAAATTGAAACAGAATGTATTCAAGATAGGAGATACCTCGTCGGGAGTAAAGTGAACTACACATGTAAGCCGTATTACATTCTACGGGGTCCACGTGTTCGGACATGTGGAGCGAATGGAGAATGGACAGGCCGTGATCCCCTCTGTGAACCTGGTGTGTTTTTTTTTATTATTGAGAATTCGATTGAATGATCTATATAAATTGTAAGATAACGAGATGCTGGCGGGTTCTTCTGCGCTTATAGAGTGCGGCCGAATAAAAAAAAACTGGTGCATCCGCTCAGCGTTTGATTAGTGGAGGAAAGAAAGCAACACCTGGGGCTTGGCCTTGGCAAGCGGCCATTTATGATGTCCATGAGAAAGATATCATTTGTGGAGGAGCTCTGATTGCAAGACAATGGGTTCTCACTACAGCACATTGCGTCGTGGACAACTACAACGAAGTTCGAGATGCGAATGATTTCTTTGTCTATCTCGGCAAGCATCATCGAAATATATCCATGGACCAAAAAGTGGCCCAAGAAATAAAGGTGCAAACAATAATGATTTTCGTGCCAATCTGCATGTTGAAATGATTTTCGATCCCTGATGGTGAACCCTTTGTTTGTAGGTGAAGCAGATCATTGTGCATGATCAATACACTGACTTGGAGCGTGACATTGCCCTTTTGAAACTCTACGATTCGGCTAATATCACGGAACGTGTTCAATTGGTCTGTCTGCCGACCAATGATGAACTGTCTGATCAATTTTTGGGATTGTGTACAGGATAAAATTGGCGGTCCTCACCGAGGATATGTATGACATCATCACTCTGATGCCTCATTTTTTCGGTTGTCTCATTATTTTCATTCCTGTTTAACGCCAGGTGACAGGTTGGGGAATAGACTCCTCAAACCGGGCAGCAGATGTCTTGACCTAGGTGCAGCTGACGGTCATTCCACCGCATGAATGTCGAAGTAAAATCGACGACATCACAGCAACGCACCCTAGAACCATCTCCAGGAACACATTTTGCGCCGGAGGACGCAACTCTTCCTCCTCAAGTGTGAATGAGCATAATAAAGGTATCATTCCAATCACTCCAATCTATGTCATTTCGATTGCGTATGACTTTCCTCTTTCATTATTACATCCTCGCAATATGGAAGTGCTTACAATAAAGATACGTGGGTGCAATATAGAAGTAAATTTTTAATCCTGTTGTACCAGTAATGTATCATCTATTTAATTTTTCACTGCTACGAATATAATCGATCATGACACCCTGAAGTGTGCTATCACTGAGATTTACGAAATTTAAGAATATTTCAATATGTGGGTGACCATATTATTTTCTTGTAGAATATCAGACGGTGTGCAAAGGAGATTCCGGGAGTCCCATGGTCTTCGCCTCTCATAGTCTTCTGAACAGTCAGTGGGTGGTCGAAGGAATCGTCAGTCATATCTACGAAAGACCGGGACAGAAATGCTCTAATTATGAACCTGGCCAGTATGGTGTTTTCACTAGAGTCAATAGGTAAGAAATGCTTTCATCCCATGCTGCTCCTTTGCTAAGCTGGCTCAAAATTGCCATGGAAATTAAAAATATAAAGAAAAAGCGCATTTAAAAAGATACAATATGGTACTTCTTGTCAGAAGTTCCATGCAGATAATCTCTTGTTAAGAGTTTCTTTATATCCTTCTTTGAATATGGGAACTGGAGTGAACATATACTAGTATATCTATTTGCATAGTATATTAATGTGGTTTTTAAGAAGCAGCAATAATAATTTCTACTTTTTTCATTCCAATCGTATTTAACTTGGCAATATAAGCATGTCCTTTGAAAATGTATCCAAGGCGTCTAACATCTTTCCTTTTTATTCTTATTATAATCATGTGATTGACCCCTTTCTCTTTATTAATCTCCATCGTGAATGAAAATTGCGAAAGAACATTAACAAGTTTGCGCGCCTAAAGTCACCTGTAATAAATGAAGGCAATAATCATTTCTCTTTTTAACTTTTTCCCTGTTTTGGCCGTTTTTGATGATTGCTGACCCTATTGTTCTGCCTTCCTATCAGGTTTGTTCGCTGGATCGAGGAGATCATGTCGATGAACTCGTGAAGTCACGAGTGACGGTCCATACCCTCCCAATCGAAGCTATTTTTCCCTGAGGTATTTTTCGACGGCGAAACTGCAGTAAGAGAGGGGTATTTCCATGGTTTCTTGTCATCATCTGTTACTAGTTTCCTTCCAAAACTTTTTTCACCATCCCTATTTCACCCTTACCCTACCATTTACCTCTCTTTTACCTGTAATACTTCTGTTTTACAGTTCCGACCTTTCCACCTGCGCCTCACATACATATTACATTCATTTATCATACACAGATATCATATATCTTACCGACAAGGTATCTTTCACTCCAAACTTACCTCATCTTTCCAGAATACTCTGATGTGATTCTCACCTTATATGATGGGTGTTACATTGGCACTGAGGTAATGATTACCATATGTTAAACGCATCAGCCGTATGCTTTTTTTGATCCAAGAATGACCTGCACGAGAGATTCATACCATGGCATTGTCTGCATAAATGTCTTCCATTCATTATTTGCTCATGACTTGACGACTTGAGAGGGCCTCTCCCAAGGATCGCGAAGACAACCATGGGAATCTTCCCATGGTTTTACCGGAATTTCACCATTAAGTCTTACCTTTTCTCAAGATCCTGCTTGAGGAAGAATTCTTTACCATCTGCTTTGAATAAAAATCGGAGAATCCCTACTTTGTCGTCTTTTTTTCAGCCCCCTGAAGCTGTTTAGGCGAATTTCTGGTGAGAAAGTGGTGAAATACATGTGTTCGAGGGGAAAATGTTTTGTATGGGTATTTCGGTTTTTAAAGTTCTATAAATTGTAATATAGTCCATTTTTAAATGGATAAGTGTGGAGAGATTAATTTACAGGCACATAGGGATTTTAAATTCGGATTGGACTATCATGGATAAATCCAAATGGGTGAAATGTCATTAGTAGTAGAATGGTCTCTACTTGTTTAAAATGCTGCTAATTACGCTGAGTTGGCATTTAATTGCTATTGATTCTTGGCTGATTTGCCAACTTCTTGATAGTCCTTACGCTTGAACCTTCTGTCAAGGTTGATACAATGCCGTCGTACCGAATGTGCATTTCTTTACTCAGTGTCAAATGTTTAACTTTGATACGAATTTGGCTCCTATCCTTGATCAATCTCATCATTGTTGGCCGCATGTAATTAATCAGAGAAGTTCTGATAGCGAAGCGAGTCCCCGCCGAGAATTGACCGCAGCTCTGCGCTCGAGTTACCATGGAGTCATCGGGATGTCGTCCAATCGGAGGACTGGCAGGATCTCGACCAGGCGGACTAGCACGGTCAGATTAGCTTCGTGGATGCGATGCCGAAGCACCGTAGTGCTCCAACTGCGCGACCCACTTTTATACCCGTATGTAGCTCTCCTGCCATGTAACATGAAAGAAATTAAAAGAAATTAAGCAAAATGAAGAACATGGACCGGGTCTTCCACGACAGTAGTGCCATCTCTTCGTATAGCTGCAAAAAGGCAGGGTGCAAAGAAGTAGTAGGAAGGGGGAAAGGGAGGGAGGGGGAGATGGAATTGAAGGGGAAAAGCAGAAGGTTAGGGCCATGAGAGAAGTGTAGGTGAGGTAAGGGGGGGAAGGAGTACGATGGCATTCCGTGTTGCCGAACAATTACGCGTGAAGTTGCCAAAATACGAAACTCAAATGGTGCAGAAGTTTTCCGGATGCCATGGAATAAGTGCCAAAAAATTCATCGTAATCCAAGAAATATTGCTCGGACGTGTTCCCGTTTCATTTCGGAAGCTCTTCGCCCCGTCGATGGAGCGGAATGGGCCTGGATGTCGCTGCTGGATGTGCGACTTCCTCAATTGAGCGGGCCAACGAAAAGGCTGTTGGCAGCTCTATTCAAGGCCCTTTTCCGCTCTGGAGGGGAAAAAAGTCCCCTGCTCTCGTAGGATCTTGTGCCGGGGGTCGAGGTCATCTTGTAGCGCCGAATGGTAGGCACGGTGAAGATCGAAAAATAATTCTAATAAATTCCTCTTTCTTTGGAACGCGACGGAAAGCATAGACCATCATAGAAAAGAAATAACAATAAATGATATAACACTTTCTGACAATTATGTTGCCAGAATATGTCCGGTAAAACCGCATTTATTTTACATGCACGAAGGCGGACAAAAGAATTTCAGAATTCCGTCTCCTCTTCCTTCTTCTCCTCGCGCATCTCCGCGACGCGAAACCGAAGCGCCTGCTCCTTGCCGATGTCGCGGATCGCCACGTACCCGAATCCCAGCTCCGCCGCGACGAACGCGAGGAGCGTCGCGTGGAGGCTCGCCTCGAAGGTCCCCACCCGGAGCCCGTCGCTCAGCACCGCGAAGCTCAGCAGCGGCAGCTGCAGCAGCAGTGTCAGCAGCCAAAAACCGATCAGCTCCGGGATCTGAAAATATTTTGCAATTTTTTTATGATTTGGCACACGCATAATTCGGTTTTGCGTTCTGCAGCATTAAGTCCTCGTTTAGCATGCAGTTTCTTCGCTAATTTCTTCTAAGACTTCAGATGTACTTGAATTTAAAAACAAATATTTGCATACATGACAGTCCTGACGCAGAACAAGTTTGAAAAAACTAGTAATGCAATAACCCTTCGGATCAAAATGACCATGAATGGAAACGCTGTCAGCAAATTTCAGCTTTATCCTTCGCCTGATTCCCCGAGTCTTCCGAGAAATGCAAGTCATCCTTCTTCCCTTTTTTCGCATTTATTTGACTAACGCTTAAAATGCTCATAATATCGAAAAATATTTCTCCTCCGTTTATTCAACGACGGCTCTAATTTGTTAACGAGCTTCTATAATTTTCTGAAGGTTTTTTTTCCGAAAATTTCGAAAACTCACTCGAAGCCAATTCGGAGGTGGCTTTCTCTGATAACTGCCCAATTACATCTATGAACAATCAGGAATTCACTCCTACTCTCTTAACTAATTAATTAAATTATAATATGCGACCGATCGCTGGACTCGCCTTCTCCATGAGGTTCCCCGTGTAGCCGAGGTAGATGCGGACGGCCTCGAGGATCCCCAGCACGGAGACGATCGTCACGGCCAGCGGCTGGAAGATCTCGCTCAGTCCGGGGAACTGGCGAGATCGTTTGCGTCGTTAATTAGTGTGTTGGGTGATTAGTATGTTGGGGGGATGAGGCGGGGGGTCGAGGGGAGACAGATGAGGTTGAGCTGGGACATTTAAAAATTCCAAGAGAAATGAATGATTATGAGGGATGGACGAGGTCGATTTTTTTTTAAGGAGGGGATGGATGAATGAATCGATCAATCGAAAATGGAATCTGTCGCTGGAGAGTTTCAGCGTTGAAAGTGGTAAGTGGAAAGATTTTTCGAGTCATCCATATCACATTAGAGAAATGGAGGAGGAAAAATGGGGCTTGACAGGATTTTCGTTCGAGACATTTTTCCTTTCTCTCAAGCGATAATGGAATGCGTTCTTTCACTTCACGGAAAATGGATGTGGAACGTCTTTTCCCGCTTTCGAGATTGAGCGATGCGACTCGAGGGATGCGCGGTTTTAAGCCGTACCTTGACGACGAGGCAGGCGACGGAGGCGGAGATCCAGAAGGGGCAGAGGTAAGCGTTGAAGTGGAGGCAGATCTGCAGGGGCAGGCTGCTGGACACCTCCGCACCTGCACAGGGGGTGGGGGGGTGGGGGGGGCAATGAAGATGTCATTCGAGGGAGGGCATGCAATGAGAGAGAGGGAATGAACCTGAGGGGAGCGGTCGGCTCTTCGCCTTGGCCAGGTCCACGTTGGGGAAGAAGGTGGAGGAAACGGTATTGAAGAGGGCTGCCGCCTGCTCCGACATCCTTGTCGCCCCTAGAACCTACTTACGACTAAGAACGGTAAAAAAAAAAGTAATTATGCTTCCTTTTTTTTGCGAACAATCCATGTGATCCGGAGGTCTGTAAAAAATATTTTAAGGTGGGATGGAAGGTTTTCCTCTCATTCTTCACGGGAATATAGGTTGTTTTTCCACATACGTGAAATCATGCATCGTCATCCCAGGAAATTCCCCGCTACAGGATGACGTCAAGGCATCCTCGAATCGCGTGATCCTAATTGAAATTGTATCCGTTAGATGTCACTAGGGAGCCCCAATTCTCCATCTGCGCTTCATCAGTCTTTGTTTACCGCGTTTCTTTTTTGAACTTGGCCCACCCCGAATGGAACCGCATTTCCGCGAATTTCTACGCCGGACCCTTCCCGGAAGCGGAAAAGAGAAACTGCGACGATCCACGAAGGAAATAAAAAAAAAGAAAATTCCCCGGAAGCGAGCCGATTCAGACAGCGCGAAAGGGCGAGTCCCCGCATCTCACCGTGACTGGTTCGTATCTCACCGATGACGTCGACCGTTCCCGGAACTGGTTCTGCCGAGGAACAAGATCCCCGGGGCTCGGGGATGGCATTCCGGTTTCTTCTGGCGTGCGCTCCACGACCTCCCCTTCTCTCTCGCTGACGAAATCATTCCGGTACGTGAGCGGTACGTGTTGGCTGGAGGCCAGACGGGGTGGCACTGAGTCCCTGGTAGGGTTGCGCGATCTCGTGTTTAAGTTGCTCGAATCGATCTGCTGGTATCCGTCTTTTTTTTCCCCTTTCTTTGATGGTTCGTGCGAGGAAGGATTTTAGACTCCGTCATCGAGTGCGTTTCATCTTAGAAATGTAGGTTAATAGGCATTGGTCAGACTGCCCCATCGTGATACCAAGACATTTCCCCCCCCCCCCCCCCCCCCCCCCCCCCCCCC